GTCCGGGGGCGGGGGGCACGACCCAAGGACCCCCCCGAGGAAGCACAGGCAGGGGATTGCAGACTTGCTAAGGAAACACATGTTCACCTCCTGTCATGTCAGCAAATGGTCAGGGGGACTCGACATGCAACGCTCGGTGTTGGGGATGGGACGCGAATGCGGGGACGTGAGGTCGTGGGTGCGGCTGCCCTCTAGTGGCGAGACATGGCCACACACGCCGTCACAGCCACGACTCGATGGGCATCTTCAGAACATATGATCCGACCGTATTCCTGCAACCACTTTTTAATCGCCTTCAATAGACATGAGAAAGGCCTTATACTTCTTCAAGCCACAAAACCGAAATCTCCCGGAGCCTGTCGGCTAAAACGTCCCTCCCTGTTCCTGAGAGAGCAGACGCGGGCGGACCTGCTGCCCCGCACCTGCTCCTGCCTCAGCCCTTCCCCCTCCTCCACCCCAGGTGCTGCCAGACACACGACCGCTGCTACGACCAAGCCAAGAAGCTGGACACCTGCAAATTCCTCCTGGACAACCCCTACACCAAAAGCTACTCATACAAGTGCTCGGGCTCGGAGATCATCTGCAGCAGTACGTTCACCCCTTGTTGGCTTGTAGGCCCTCAGCGGGTAGGAGGGACCGTAATAGTGGCAATAGCTCCCATTTATTGATCAATGACTCGGTGCCAGGAACTGTACCATTGTGATCCCCATTTTACAGATGAGGAAACTAAGGCTGGTAAAGAGTGGTGTTTGGTTGTTGAACTCAGGTCTGTATGACTCAAAAGCCTCTGCTCTTAACTGCCATGTTATGCTGTTTTATTATTTCATAAAAGAGCCCAGAACTAGCATTTATTAGGTTCTCATTACACGCCAGGCACTAGGTGTGGCGTGTGTGTGTGAGGTAGGTTTTCTTAGCCCCGTTTTACAGGTCAGGAAGCTGAAGCTCAAAAACAGTCACTTGTCCAGAAATCACACAGCTTGTCCGTGGCAGCTAACATTCGCACCCCGTTGCTTTCTTTCCTCAAAGTCTCTGGTTTTAACCAGTAAGTGGCGCAGCACTCAGGATGAAATGTGTCCCTCCATGAAGGCAGATCTGAAGGGCAGACAGATGAAAGGTGCTGTTGCTACTGTACAAACAACACAAAATAACCATAATCCCAGCCCAAAAGTGCCACGAAAAAGTTCTCCAGAACCCCACCACCGTCAGGAGTGAAGCGTCATGCCTCCAGTTCATCTCTCTGAATTGTGGGACCAAACCCGCAACCGTGGCATTTGGGCACAACATGATAACCAACTGAACTGGCTTCCACTTCCTATTGCCGAGATAGAAAGTAAAGAAAAAACTTAAATACACTAGATGTTGATAAGTATTGTAGAGGAAATAAAGCAGAGAGAGGAGATAGAGAACGGTGGAAAGAAGGAGGGAATGTGTATGTGATTTAAAAGAACGTGGTGAGGGAAGACCTCACTGAGAAAGACATCTGCAGAATGACCCGGAATGAGGGAGTGGCCCACTGGTGGGAAGTGTTTCAAAGAACTTGGGATAAGGGTTAGGGGTATAAGCCTACCCACAATTCATTTGTGGTTTTTAAAGGAAAGGAGCAGAAAGAAACAAAACTTTAATAAAATGCTTGAAGGCAAGGTAAGCAGAGATACACAGTTAATTTATGGATAATAAAGTTCAAATGCATTTTAAATGTTATCTGTGCTGTTTCTTTTGGTTATAAAAGTAAACAAGGCCAAAGTAATATAATTTCAGAAATATATGTCATGGAAAGTGGAAGGCACCTATAATCCTACTACCCATAGATAACCAGTTTTATATATATATGTATATATATATATATATATATATATTCAATTTTTTAAGCTTTACTGTTGATCCAGGAGGTCACAGTTCGATTCCTAGTCAGGGCACATGCCCAGGTTGCAGGCTCAATCCCCAGTGTGGGGTGAGCAGGAGGCAACCGATCAATGATTCTCTCTCATCATTGATGTTTCTATCTCTCTCTTTCCCTCTCCCTTCCTCTCCAAAATATATTTAAAATAAAATAAAATATATTGGAAATATTTCCACATATAGACATAATTATTTTAAATGTCTGTATAATAGTCTATTATTTTTTTAATATGAGCTTTAAAGTAGAGAAACTGGCTTACTAAACTTCACTAAGTTGAAATTTAAAATACTTTGCTGCCTTAAGTGTAGGCTTTAGTGTTCTCCATATGGTTTATAATGGCTTGCCTATGTTGTCAGGGGTCTGTAGCTATATGGGTGCAAAATAGACAAGACTTTCCAAAAGGCAGCGCTCACACCTAGGATCGCCAGATAAACGCAGGTTGCCCAGTTAAATTTGACTCTGACATAGACAACAAACAATTTTTTAGTCTAAGTCCCAAACCTTGCATTCATTGTTTATCTGAAACCCTGGCATTTTAATTGCTTAATCTGTCAGCCCTAAATGTGCACCAAGGCAATGACCACTGAATTATTCCGGTTATTTTTTCCTGCCCCTGGGTGGTGGACAGCAGGGTCCACCTGGGCTCAGGCCTCTCCTCTTGCTCTTTTCCAGGCAAAAACAAACCCTGCCAGGCCTTCATCTGCGAATGCGACCGCAAAGCTGCCATCTGCTTTTCCAAGGCCCCTTACAACAAGGAGCACAAGAACCTCAACACCAAGAAGTTCTGTCAGGACTGAGCGCCGCCCGCCGCTGTACCGCCCTGTCCCTGTGGCTGTCGCCTTACACTGCGCCTGCCCCCCAGTAAAGCACTTTGTTGAAAGGCCTCGCGTTTGGAGATTGTTTTATTCTGTCTGCTCAGCACGACTGGGCCTGTGCCTAGTCCTTCGTGAGGTCATTCTTCCAGCCTTGGAAGTTGAATCCCTGGGATATTTCCAGGAAGTGAGCACCATGACACCTGAGTAATGACGACACCCCCTGATGGTCACTCTGTGCCAGGACGTGGGTCTCACATTCCCTGGGACGCCCTGGGAGGTGTTGACACTGTTAGTTAAGGCTCCTTCCCTCAGCTGCCGCTCAGGAGGAGAGGCCGCTAGCCCAGAGCTCTGCAAAGTAAGTAGCAAAGATGGGGCTTGAACCCAGTGAGTCCAGGAGAACACACACGCTTCCCCACCCCCGACCCTGCCTGGAGCAGGGAGCTCTTGTTTCAGTCCCAGCCCGGTCTCTCCTCCTCTCATTTTTCTGCCTCCATTTTCAACCATGGAAAACCATTTTTCCTACAACTTCTTTCCTTTCTAAGCCTGACAAAGACTTTACCACACACTACAAGCTGATTTTTTACATTGTGGTCATCAAACATACTAAACAGCCCTGGCTGGTTTGGCTCAGCGGATAGAGCGTCGGACTGCGGACTGAACGGTCCCGGGTTCCATTCTGGTCAAGGGCACATGCCCGGGTTGCAGGCTCGATCCCCAGTAGCGGGCGTGCAGGAGGCAGCCGGTCGATGATTCCCCCTCATCATTGATGTTACTGACTCTCTCTCCCTATCCTTTCCTCTCTGAAATAAAAAAATATACTTAAAGAAAACATAATAAACAATAACACCTTCTACTTCTAGGTCATTTACTGCATATCACTCTGTGCAAAGGGCTTTCCACATCCCGTCTCATTAAATATCCAAACCGGCTCTGTGAGGGCGATATTATTGCCCCCATTTTATGGATGAGAAGCTATAATCTCAGAGAAGTCACTGCCCGGTGATCACACAATTGGCATAGCCAGGATTTGACCAGACCTGCCTGAGCTGTTAACCCCTCAGCCAACTTTCTCCACTAGGATTTATGCCCACATTAGCATCGAAATTCACCAGGTAGAGTGGGGAGGGGAAAGAAGGAAACCGAATTCGAAAAACAAAAACGAGAAAGGGCAATGAAGACTATGAGAAGCCACCACGGAGCAATTTTAAACCAGTGGAGGCTGACAGAACAGCAGCCACTGCTGGGTGTGTGGCGGGCAGCAAAGAAGTGTGTGTATTTGTCTTTTGAAGAAGGAGTATGTGTGGGTTTGTCTTTTGGCCCAATTTCTCCCTCATTTCATTCATCCATTCAATGGGAAAAACTGCAAGCCGCCCCCCTTAGGATGGAAGAAAGGTAAGATTATTAGGAGACTTACTTAGTCCCACTTTTTTTTTTTACAATTATAAAACAAACAACAGAGAGAACAGAGTCACCTGAGCACTCAAGCTGGACTCTAAAAATATCCTCTGACGTAAAAACCTTCATTTTTTCATTATCTCAAGGACAGAGAGAGAGAGAGAGAGAGAGAGAGAGAGAGAGGGAGAGAGAACAAGTGCTCATTGCTGGAAACGGAATCTGGGCAACACTAGAACCGTGGCTGGGATGATTTAAGTGAATAAATAAATGTACTGCACTGAGAGTAACCTGAAGTCGGGATTGTAGCATAGTGTCAGATAGCAGCCACAGCACTTAGCACACCTCACAGGCTCATTCACTGGTTAATGAGGAGACGGTGTGGTGCAATGGTTTGCTGCGGTCCAAGATGAAACCACGGGGCGTATTTACCTTTTCCACCCACGTGATCCTCCGCGCCCAACCCTGTCAACCCGCCAGCCACACCCCGGGGCTGGAGGGATTTCAATGTGATTGGACATTTTATGGGCACGTGGCTCTCCGTTCCTCTTTTCTATTGGTGACCAGGTCCCGCTTCCGGCCTACCTGCGCACCTCCCAGGCTCAGGCCCCGCCCCTCTCGGTGTCGGACCCGCGCCCGCGCAGGCGCAGTGGTTGGCTGTGTGCCCTCTAGGTGGCGTCCCAGGAAGGTGAGGCCCCAGCGGGACAGAGGGGCGGGGGGGGGGGCGGAGTGTGAGAAGGGAGTCCGGCCTCCCTGGGTCTCTCACCCGCTGCGCATTCGCCCTCCTCCCCCGGTCCCGCCAGCTTCCTGCTGGTAACCCTCATTGCTTTCACCCGGAAAGGCGAACGGGGGCTGGAAAGTGGGGGGCTGGGAACCTAAGGGGGCGGGAGGGAAGAA